GTTGGTGAAATATTTAATTTTGGAGATTTTATTCCGTCTCCTTCTGGCTGCTGGGGAGATTTGGAATTGTCCCATTGAGTGGGGATGGAGGTTTTTGGATTGGAATAATCCCCCTGCTGTGGATGCTGAATTTCCTCTCTCCCTTTTATCTGCCCTGAAAATACAATCACAGGAGCTGGGAGTTTTTTTCTGGAGGAAAATATTCAGAAATAAAGGTTTGAAATCAGCAGAGATCTGTGGCTTCTTGAGAGCAGGAAACACAGAGAAATGGGGGAAAAAAAAACCAGTGCAAAAAAGGCTTTATTTGGTCTGAAAAATCAGAGATTTTGGGCATGGAAGTGAACACAGGGATGGGAACTGATTTATTTCTCCTGGCACTTCAAGGTGCTCCTGAAAACAAAGGCTGCTGGTGTTTGTGGGTCCCTCAGAGCCTTGGAATATTCCATGGGCATCCAAGAGTCCTTGGGATTTTGGAGAGGCGATGATTTCCCCCGTGAGGATCCCAAAACCGGGAACTGAGACCTTGGTGAGGGCCTGGCCTGCTGGAGCTGTCCCTGGGGTGGGAACAGGATCAGGTTTTAACATTTAACATTCCCTCCAACCCAAGCCAGGCTGGAATTCTGGATCCTTTGAATACAGAAATCCCTGAGAGAGCAGCAACCAGCGGCTTTTCCTCGTGAAATTCCCAAAACCAACCAAACCCTTCCCCTGACCCAAAGGCTTTTCCTGTCCCAGGGGCACAAAATCTCCCGGAGCTGCTCCGTTCATTCCACGGATTTTGGATTCCCGGTGCTTGGAGCTGGGTTAAAATAGAAGCTCCAGTGCTGGGCAGGCTCTGCTCAGCTGCTGCATCACGTCCTGGCTTTTCCCTGTGCTCCCCATTCCCTCCTGACGCCCCCTCCAGCCACCAGGCAGAGCCCTGGGGAAGGGTTTGGATAAGTTTTGGAATTCTCTGCCTGCCCTGGGTTTTCCTGGGGGCTCTGTACCCCTCCACCACTCTCACAAAATCCATTTTCCACCTTGATTAACATTCACCAGAAACCCCCAATTAAATTATGTTCATTTTCCCCTTTCATGCTGCTTCTTCCCCGTTAAAACAGGAGCTGTTTACACGGGAGCTGCTTTCCTAAAACCTCTTTCCACATGAGCTTTTATCCTTTTTTTTTTTTTTTTTCCCCTCCCAAACCCTGCTTGATTTTTATTCCATCCCTTTGTCTGTCCTATATTTTTTCTTTCCCTGGCTGATGCTGTCTAAGATAGGAACAAGCCCACGTTGAATTGCAAACACCCGGCAGTGGGAGCAGAACAAAATGGGAGTTGCACAAAGTAGGAAATTTCTTATCCCCTAAAAAAAAAAAAATGAAAAAGAAGAAGTTGATTGTCACTGGAGCCACCCCCGTGATGCAGCTTTAGGAGCTTTGGGGTTGATTTTTGGGTGCTGCCCCTCTCTGTGTTGGTTTTTTTTGGGGGTTTTTTTGGATTCAGCTCCTGCAATTTTTTCCCCCCCAGTGCCAAAATTTTGGGGGGTGCCAGATTTTGCCAGTGGGGAGCAGAGACAAAGCCAGGGGAGGATGTGGAGTGGTGGAGCTGTGCCCTTTGCATCCCCAAAGGAGATTTTTCCATCCCCAAAGGAGATTTTTCCATCCCCAAAGGAGATTTTTTCATCCCCAAAGGAGATTTTTTATCCCCAAAGGAGATTTTTCCATCCCCAAAAGAGACTTTTCCATCCCCAAAGGAGATCTTTCCATCCCCAAAGGAGATTTTTCCATCCCCAAAGGAGATTTTTTATCCCCAAAAGAGATTTTTCCATCCCCAAAGGAGATTTTTCCATCCCCAAAGGAGATTTTTTCATCCCCAGAGGAGATTTTTCCATCCCCAAAGGAGATTTTTTCATCCCCAGAGGAGATTTTTTCATCCCCAAAGGAGATTTTTTATCCCCAAAGGAGACTTTTCCATCCCCAAAGATTTTTCCATCCCCAAAGGAGATTTTTCCATCCTCACAGGAGCTCCTGGAGGAACCAGGATTTGGGAATGAGTTGAGCACAGCCAGGTGCTGGAGCTGTCCCAAAAAATGGGATTGAGCTCGGCTGGAGATGCTGGCAAAGCTCCCACCTGTGACAGGAAGAGCCTGGGAGGGTTTTTGCTTTATTTCCCTTTTTTTTTCTGAGGTTTGGAAGGGAAAAAGGGATTCTGGGCACAGAGGGGGTGAGGAGGAACCCCCAGAGCTCCAGATATTCCTGGCTTGGGCATTCCCCAGCTCTGACAATGTGGAAATACTGCCTGATGCTCTCCACAGGAAAAAGGAAAAGGGAAAACGTCCACGCTTTCACTTCAGAGGGGTTTATTTGTTTTGAAGGATGAGGGAATTGATTCTGGAGGATTTTTGTTTCTTTTCTTCCTTTCCTTCTCCTCCATGCCTGGTTCCTTTTCCTTTTATTTAAAAGAAGAGCTGGGAAAAACACAAAAAAACTCTCTTAAACTGCTGGATTTTAAAAGAAAATGAGCTCCTGTAAATGGATAAATGATGGTCAGCCTGGCTGAAAACTTCCCCTCTCCCTGGGCTTTGGAACCCCTGTCCTTCCTCAAATCCCAAACTCTCTGCTTTTCCCTGTTTTTATCTCCCTCCTGCTTTTTAATTTATTTTATTTTATTTTTGTACAGAAAGTTCTGATGAAGGAGAGCTGGAGAGGAGCTTTGGAAAAGGGCCTGGAGCGCCGGGACACAGGGAATGGAATAAACGGGATTTTTTGGGAAGGAATTTCCTGGCTGAGAGGAGCTGGGATGGAATTCCCATCCTCTGGAAGTGTCCCAGGAGCTGGGATGGAATTCCCATCCTCTGGAAGTGTCCCAGGAGCAGCTTCCCGGCTTTAATGAGCTGCAGCTCCCAATGAATCCCCCTGGGAGAGCCCGGCAGGGAAAAAAAACATCGGGAAAAAACCTGGGAAAAACAAAACATCGGGAAAAAAACCTGGGAATACCCAACATCAGCCTTGGCTGAGCCTCAGCCTGCCCTGGGGCACCCACCCAGGTGGGCTCTGGAATGTTCTGGTGCCCCCCCCCGCATTCCCCAGGCAGAGCACGAGCCTTGGGAAGAGGAATTTTAAGTCTGGTTTTCTCAAAACTGGGAAAAAACTGGGAAAAAGTGGTGAAAAACTAGGAAAAACTGGGGAAAAACTGGGAAAACTGGGAAAACTGGGGAAAAACTGGGGAAAAACTGGGGAAAAACTGGGGAAAAACTGGGGAAAAACTGGGGAAAAACTGGGGAAACTGGGAAAAACTGGGGAAAAACTGGGAAAACTGGGAAAAACTGGGAAAAAACTGGGAAAAAAATAGGAAAAACTGGGAAAAACCGGGAGAAACTGGGAAAAACTGGGAAAAACTGGGAGAAACGGGGAAAAACTGGGAAAAACTGGGAGAAACGGGGAAAAACTGGGAAAAACTGGGAGAAACGGGGAAAAACTGGGAAAAACTGGGAGAAACGGGGAAAAACTGGGAAAAACTGGGAGAAACGGGGAAAAACTGGGAAAAACTGGGAGAAACGGGGAAAAACTGGGAAAAACTGGGAGAAACGGGGAAAAACTGGGAAAAACTGGGAGAAACGGGGAAAAACTGGGAAAAACTGGGAGAAACGGGGAAAAACTGGGAAAAACTGGGAGAAACTGGGGAAAAAACCGGGAAAAAATGGAGAAAAAACTGGGAAAAAACTGGGGGAAAACTGGGAGAAACTGGGAGAAATTGGAAAAAACTGGGAAAAACTGGGAAAAACTGGGAAAAACTGGGAAAAAATGGGGAAAACTGGGGAAAACTGGGAAAAAAATGGGAAAACTGGGAAAAAAATGGGAAAAACTGGGAGAAACTGGGAAAAACTGGGAGAAACTGGGAAAAAAAACGGGAAAAAATGGAGAAAAAACTGGAAAAACTGGGAAAAAACTGGGGGGACACTGGGGAAACTGGGAAAAAACGGGGAAAAACTGGGAAAAAAACTGGAAAAACTGGGAAAAACTGGGGAAAAAATGGGAAAAAAATGGGAAAACTGGGAGTCCCAATCCCAGAGACAGCGGAGGGAAAAGCGAGTCCCTTGCTCCCCTCGCCTCGCTTCACCGGCGGTCTCCGCGCGTCTAAATCGCTTCTCCTTGGATTTATTTGGAAAATCCAGGAGATTTTGACATTTTGAACTGTTTTGACGCGCTGCTCCCCGTCCTCCCTCAGCATCCCGGCGGGGCGGGGGGAGGCGGAAGCTCTTCCCGGCTGTCCCCGGAGCCCCCGCAGCGGCGGGCGGGGATCCGGGAGCTGTGGGAGAGGCGGGGGCTGCCCTGCCCGGGCTGCCGGGCTCCGCTCCGGGGCCGGGCCCACGCACATGGCCCGGCCCGGGCACCGGGACCGCGCGTCCTCCCGCGGCCTCGGCCCCGCCCCCTGCCCCGCAGCGCGCCCTCACATTGGTCCGCTCACTCCCGGTGCCGCGCTCCGATTGGTCGCCCCCCGCGAGCTCCGCGGGCCCGTGGGCGGAAGCGGCGCTACGGCGGCCGCGGAGGGTCCCCGCGCGCGCGCGCCCCCGGCCGTGTCGAACGCGGCCGCCCCGGGATGCGGCCCCGGCGGCCGGGCCGGGCATGAGGGACGGCGGGGGGGCCGCGCCCAGCACCGGCACCCGACGGCACCCGGGCACCGGCGGGGGTCCTCCTCGGGGAGCGGGGGCGGGGGGGGGGGGGGGGAGGCGCGGG